TAGATCCTGGAATCAGTGATCTCCCTTCATTGGTTTCATCTCTGTGAGAAAAATAATTTTTATTCTTTGCTTAATTTTTCCATGTAATGTGAACCCTGAATTTCCTAAAACTTACTATTTATTTAAGATAATTTTTCATACCTGTTTTATAAATTGATTAGCATAACATCTTTTTTAATCAGTCTCCAGGTGTCACCATTATTTTACTTAAACACTTAAATACAGTGTTAAATATACATATATATATTTATTTAGCCATTTCTAAAGTAAAATATTGGTAAAACCTTTTCAGAATTTAAAATATAGTTCTTTGCCAATTGTCAGAATAAAAAGGCTTTTACTTATATTTCTTGATAGTATAAATATATACTATGTTGTTGTTGGGCTAAGGATTGTTCGACAGTAGGTATCCATGACTTGTTAGCGGTAAATTCAACGATGAATAAATAACACGCACCTCACTTGTTTTCAAAATAATATATATATATTCGGAACAAGTTAAATATGTACAACAAATTCTTTATGCTATAAATATTATAAGCATATCATAAACACTATATATAGTTATCTTCTTCTTGTCAAATGTCCTCTTATGCCTATTCAATTACTTTATATTCAATTAATTACTATTCAATTAATCTTCTCTGTTACTATCGCACTAGTATTCTGTGTGTGATTCACTTAAAATTGTGGTGCGAGTTACCGTAATTGTTTGGTCTTCTTTCTTCTGAAGATTCTCTGTTCTTTTTATCAAAGTACGCTTATGCTGATTCGATTACTTTAGAATTTCGCTTTGAAGGAATAAATTATTTTTCTTATCTTCTTTGCCACTGTTAGTCTTACTGTAACATATTAAACGTTAAGCCAATGTCACACTATTTATATCTTTATCACCTAATCATCTATCCGCATTATATATTCTCGACGTAAAAATATTGCACACGACGTTCAATAGTCTCAACATCAATGAATTATTAGCAAAACCTCCCACAATCGTCTGCTCTTAACTCTTATTATGACAAAAACTAAACAGTCTTATATATCATGACACACCTTTTCACATACACTCTTGCCATCGGTGCATTGTACCATTAGGTTAAAATGGCTGTTGCGAGTAATATTGTTTAGCAACAACCGTGACCATGAAAGGAAATACTATTTATCAAGAGCAGCTACCTCCTGGGGTTACTCTACATTAATCAAGCCTGGCCTTCTTCAGTGTTCCCTGTGACTCACGTGGCAAAAATATCGTGGTAATTAAAATTATCCCCCACAATATCACCCCAGATGAAATCAAGAAAGAACTCAACAATCAACCCTACTTTACCTTCATAGCCAAGAAAATCAAGTCCTACCAGACTGGAGAACTAACACCATGGAGCTCAGTTCAATGTTTTGACTCAAAGCAGTGGACAAGCTTGTCAAATCTAAGATCTCTACTGTGCTTTGTGCACAGTACTGTGGAATCTACCAAATCAACTCCCATAGTTATTCTGCATTGTTTCAAATACAAAAATTTCTATCACACACACAAGTTGTTTGCACCACCAAGCCCAAATATGTTATACATAGAAAGCAGCACCTGGTAAGCAACTGCTCCAGAAGGAAAGAATCTAAATGTTGTGCTTACTGTAGTGGACATTATGCAGCTTCTTACCATGGATGATCCAAATTCTCACAAGTCTAAGATTGCAAGAACCCTAAAGTCAACCTTGCCACAACTACCAGCCCACAAACCACTGTAATTCTCTACCACAGTCACTATCGAAAACTTAGTCACCTTCTTGACTGATTTCATTCTTTGTGCCCATGAGGATAACACCCCTTCAAGGCTTCAGCTCTAGACAAAAGTTTGTTCAGTTAACCAGTTCCAGTCTTTCTCAACAATTAAATCACACAGTGCCAATACTGACCATTTCATTCCACATAAATTTTGAAATTATTATCACATAAAAGCTGACTTGTATCATAAGAAATTAAGGTTCTTTGAATTCTGCAGCAGTCTAGAGATAGATATCATAACTATAAATAAAACACTTTGAAATGCTTCCAGACGCTTTCAATTTCCTGACTGTAATATTCTATGTAAACCTAAAAGTGTAGGTAGTTTAGTTATCACGTTATTATGCAAAAACAAACATAAAAAACACTTCAGAATAAACTTGCTGATGAACATGTTCTATGTAATATTCATCTTCCTAACTTCCTGGTGATTTCATTCTTTGCTTCGTAAGTTTTACCTTCTATAACTGTAGATATTGTTTTCTTCAATCAGTGGTTAACCCAAATCCCCAAAATACTATACTAGGAGATCTTACCCTTATCTCCAAATATCTAGACTTCAGCTGCTTCACTACTGATAACAAAGTCAATATTCTACATCTGTTCATTGAAAGAAATAACATTATAATACCCTACCTTTTACTCATCTAAATGGTTTACAGGATATCATAGACCTTGCTAATGTTTCAAGTTCATGAAAACATAGATGGGATTGTAACACCATTAAATTTATATTTTTAGCAACATCAGAAACAATATATATTATTTCCAATATTCAGTTTAACTAAAGCCAACTTAAAATCTTCAAACTAGTGTCTATAAAGTTCTGAAATGGGTTAAATTTCCTTAAGAAACTTACTTCTTATTGATTTATTCAGAGTCAGTAATTTTATATTTTCTATCAAATTCTATACTTAGTTTTACTTCTAAAGCTTGAAGGTGGACATTTACCATGTTCATGTGCAGAGCAATTTCTCAATAGTTTTAAATTACCACTGCCTCTAAGTTTTAAAACTCGCTTGAAAATATATTCTAGTTGCATACAATAGAACATACAGTAAATAGCATTATTTCATTCCCAACACTAAACAAACAAGTTTATAGTGTTTGAGCTCCATAAAAATATAATTACTGAGTGATACTTTCTTTCTTTTCACATAAATGAGATATTTTGTTTTATTCCCATAAATATCACATGATTATACAATACAGGTACTGAATACATTACTAAATTTGGATTACATACACTGATTAGTTCTTAAATGCATTTCATAATATCATTCTTGGGCCTCTCTAATATAGTGTGATGATCACTAAAATACAGCTGTATGGGATTTCAGACTTTATATTCATTGTAAGGGAATTATTTAATTATTCTGGTAAAGTAATTATCACATATAATTTAAATAAACTATGTGTTACCTTTAATGGTATTTTACTAAACATTATTCATGTATTTTCAACAGCTCCTGTGCTTATGTCCGAATATGTATAGTGTATCAAATTTCATTATGTGTATGTATTACAAAATATACGTGTGGTGCTAATTTTTCAATTTTATACAGTACCTTTTCTAGTTTACTACGAGGTCAAATATATGAACTCAGTTTCATATCATCTGTTACACTGAATACTTGAACTAACTTAGATAATTTTTTCTTCTATTTTCTGCAATAAATGCAAATTGCTCTAAATTATTTTGAATTCTTACAAACAAATTTAATATAGAAACCTACTCACCTAATAAATGTAGGAAATAATTTGATAACTGTTTCTGTTCATATACAGTTAAATTCAATTCCTAAATAAACTCTTGAAA